TAAAGGATACCAATGCTGAGCCCGTTATTAATTTGCTGTCCAACACATTCACTGCAAAGGCAGGAAATGATTTAAAGATCGACGTTCCATTCAAGGGTGTGCCACCACCAACAGCAGCCTGGAAGAAAGATGGCAACTTGCTGAAAGAGACAAGCAGAGTAAATGTGCACACATCTGACACATCGTCTCAGATCATTATCAAAGATGCAACCAGATCAGATGTTGGCATGTATGAGGTGACCCTGACCAACTCATCTGGAACCACATCCGCTGAAATCTTTGTTAATGTATTTGAAAGACCTGGACCACCAAGTGAGTTCAGAGTGGATGAAGTGAGTGCTGACTTTATGTCATTGTCATGGCAGCCCCCTCACTACACTGGCGGATGTCCAATCAGTAATTACGTTGTTGAGAAGAGAGATACAGGCAGCACAATATGGCAGACTGTGTCAGCTACAGTTGCCAGGACATCAATCAAGATTTCCCGTCTGACACAGGGCACTGAATATCAGTTTCGTATTGCTACAGAAAATCGCTACGGCAAAAGCCAGTTTGTTGAGTCTGAGCATGTCTTTGCCCAGTATCCCTTTAAGCCCCCTGGTCCACCAACTAATCTCCATGTTGTCAGTGCCTCAAAGTCCTTCGTGGTGGTTGCATGGAGCAAGCCAGACAGTGACAGTGGCAGTCCTGTCATTGGTTATCATATTGAATGCAAAGATCAGAGCAGTATTTTGTGGACAAAGTTAAACAGAAGCCCAGTGACTGACAACCAGTTTAAGGTAACAAGTGTTGAAGAAGGTCTGATATATGAGTTTCGGGTCTGTGCTGAGAATATAGCCGGTGTTGGACCATGCAGTAAGGCATCTGAGCCTGTGGCAGCAAGAGACCAGTGCGATCCCCCACACAACCTCACAGTCACCAATATAACTAACAGCTCAGTTTCCCTGTCCTGGGACAAACCAGAATATGATGGCGGGGCTAAAATAACTGGGTACATTGTTGAGCGTAAAGAGCTGCCAGAGAGTTGCTGGCTTAAGTGCAACTTCACCAACTTACTGGACACCTTCTTGGAAGTGACTGGCCTCACAGAGGGAGAACAGTATGATTTTCGTGTGACTGCAAAGAATGCAGCCGAGAACTTTAGTGCGCCCTCTGAAACCACCGGACCTGTTACAGTGCAGCATGATGTGGACCCGCCCAAAATTATCTTGGAGGACAAATTTAGACAGGCGGTGGTTGTCAAAGCAGGAGACCTCCTAAGAATAGATGCTGACATCTCTGGCCGCCCTAACCCCACAGTGTTTTGGTTGAAGAATGGTAGAAATATCGGAAGCAAGGGAAGGGTTGAGGTAACTGCAACAAAGACGCATACCTCTCTTCTTATCAGAGAAAGTGTTAGGAAAGACTCTGGACAGTATACTCTGACCCTACAGAGTACAGGGGGTGTGACATCCAGGACTATCACCTGCAAGGTCCTGGACAGGCCAGGCCCACCTGCTGGACCTCTGGAAGTGTCTGGACTCTCAGCAGAGAAATGCACCCTGTCATGGGGACCCCCTCATGAGACTGGCGGTGCCGAGATCATGCATTACATTGTTGAAAAGTGTGAAACCAGCCGTGTAGCCTGGACCCTTATGTACGGTGACATGATGGCAACTACCTGCAAAATTACAAAGCTACTCAAAGGAAACGAATACCTGTTTAGGGTGAAGGCAGTAAACAAATATGGGGAAGGTGAGACTTTGGAAAGTGAGCCCATCAAGGCCGTCGATCCCTTTACTATCCCATCCCCCCCGACTGATGTTGAGGTCACAAGTGCAACCAGCGAGGCCATGACTATCTGCTGGAAGAGACCTGCCTCTGATGGTGGTAGCCGAATCAGTGGTTACATCGTTGAGAGAAGGGAGAAGCTGGGTGTCCGATGGGTTTGTATTAACAAGAAGCCTGTCTATGACCTACGATTCAAAGCTAGCGGGCTGCATGAGGGGTGTGAGTATGAATTCAGAGTCTTCGCTGAGAATGCTGCTGGGCTAAGTGAACCCAGTCTCCCCTGCCCACTCACTCTGGCTGAGGATCCAAAGTTTCTCCCTTCCCCTCCTGCAAAACCAACTGTCATCGATTCATCCAGGACTGCCATCACACTGTCATGGAACAAGCCGCTGTTTGATGGTGGAGCAGCAGTTACAGGATACAAGGTTGAATACAAAACACCAGCAGAAGAAGAGTGGACTGTTGGTGTTCATAACACAGACAGAACAGAGTTTACAGTAACTGGCCTCACATCAGGGACGGCATATGTTTTTACTGTCAGATCCATAAACAAGATTGGCATCAGCGAGCCAAGTCCTGAGACAGATCCTGAAGTGGCCGTGGATAGAGAGGAGGAGCCCAGGTTTGATATTAGCCCAGATATGAGGAAGACCCTGCTTGTTAAAGATGGCAGCTCCTTCACTTTGACTGTGCCTTTCACAGGCAAACCTGTTCCTAATGTGACATGGGAAAAAGCAGATGTAGATCTGAGGATCAGAGGACTGATCAACACCAGCAGCTCTGTCACCTCTATCACAGTGGAAGGGGCAACTCGTGATGACTCTGGCAAATACATTGTCAAATTTCAAAACGTTGCTGGATCTGCCTCTTTGACACTGAGTGTGAGGGTTTTGGATTCACCTGGTCCGCCAGCGCAGATCAGAGTGAAAGATGTGACCAAGAGCTCTGCCACCGTTACCTGGGACATCCCTGAGAATGAGGGAGGAGGCCCTGTCAAGAGCTACCTTGTAGATATACGGGACCTCAGCAGGAAGGGGTGGACGAGACTCACAGACAAATGCCGCCGACTGTCCTACAAGGTGTCTGACCTGGAGGAGGGAGGAATTTACTTCTTCAGAATCACTGGTGTGAATGAGTACGGGACCGGTGTTCCAGCTGAGACCAAGGAGGGAACAAAAATGATAGGTACAATTCTTTCAGTTTTGTATGATTCTATTTCTTGCAATAAGAGTTTTTTTAATTATTATTATTTGATATTTTTCAGATACAACAGACTGGGAGACAAATCAAGGAGCTTAGCCAGGACTGAAGTAAACTTCTCCTGATCATCCTGTCAAGATCCTCTTCTTCATCCAGTGTTGTTCAGAAAAATCCGTTAGCAAATACTCTGTGAATTAATGCATTACCAGAAGATGTGGCTTTGTAGATATATGATCACATATCTTTTTTTATATGTTTGTATACTAGTAAGCCTTTTTAATGGTAGATTTTATTAACATGCATCAAAGTCCTGATTTTGTTTGGTTATGGTTATAACAACAAAAACATGATCTATTATAAAATGAAGATGTTTGTAATAGTTGTTAGAGTTTGACTTTGTATTTGTTAAGGGAAATGACATACTATTAAAAAATATCTAGCAAAATAGAAACACATTTGTTTTAATTTTGCAATTTATATATTATTAACTCCGGATGGCATCAAGACATTGCAAAGAAAACAAATGAGACAACATATATAGAAAGAATTACTGTTGTAGGCCTGCTGTAAATTTAAGGTAGAAGGCTGGAACTTCCCTTATGTATTTTCATTTTGTATGTAGTACAGGCTAAGAGGCACAATTCATTTCTATTTAGAGACATAACACACTAACTGGATCTTCTGCAAAAACAAAACAAAATAACCCTGTTAAAATAAAGTTTTAAAATCAACATTATGATGGGTTACTTCTGAGACTTTTTGGTGTTTTTTTGTTTGTTTTTGGTTTGGTTTGGTTTCCTTTGTTTTTTTACAACTAATTGCCAATTATAGCTAAGATTTACTTTTAGATACATTTTCTAAATGCAGTATCTTTACTTTTGCTGGAACGTTTTTTGGTATACTGAAGCATAGTAGGCAAGTTAAATGATGGGGTGGTGGCACTTTTGCCATCCAGGGTCATTCCCTTACACCAGGTTCATCAAACATATGTCCTGTGGACCAGAAGTGGTCGGCCAAAGGATCCAATCTAGCCCACTGGATGACTTTGCATACCTAATGTTGACTTATATTGCACTTGTCAAGGCTTAGCGGCGGCAGGTTTCAGGAGCACAGTTTAGCAGTGAGTATCCTACTTCATGTAAAATGCTGCTTCAAATGCTTTTCACCAAACCAGAATATGGTTATCTGAAATAACAGTAAATACTTATTGTGGTCATATTTAAAGATAGTGAACACTGTTCAAAAGTGCAAAACAATCTGCTTCAGACTTTTATCTTAAAACTGTGCTTGTGGAACACAATTTTTAAAGCACTGCCAAAACCTTTGATTTATGAATGGTTTGTAAGACAGGGGTATGAATAAAACTGCTTCCTCAATAGCTTCCACTTTAGTTTGGTTTTGTGATGCCAGCACTACACAAATGTATGCACATGTGAGTAGCAGACTGACTGCATCTGGGAAAACTGACATATTTTTCTAAAGAAATCCCAGGCCTCTTCATCATGTGTTTTGTAAATGGATGACCGTTTTCAGAGTACTTGTACTTCTTTACACTGAAAGAAAGGGAAACATTTACAGGTGTTGTTATTTATAGGATATTCTGTAAAGGTTTTACCAGTCTGGCCCACTTGAGATCAAATTGGACTGTATATGGATTATGAATTAAAATGAGTTTGACATCCCTGATGTGGACTGGGTGGTCATTTCCCCTGTTTCTATCTCCTTGTTTCCTGTCACCTATCAGCTGTTACTCTCAAATAAAAGCAAAGAAACAAACATGCCACGAAAATACTTTTAAAAGAAGTTTAAGATTTTCACATCAATTGGAAATAAAAATGTATGTAACGAGCTTTTTTTTTTTTTTAACTTTTAAGCTTTTTTTATTTTATTCAACTAACATATAAACTGTGTCAAAATTGGATTAAAAAGTCCTAACTGCACAGGTTAGCCCTAGCTGTCACCTGTTGCCGTCCTTTTGTCGTGATGGCAGCTGTTTGCAAGTACGTCACTATGGAAACCATTACGTAGCTCACAGGAAATCCAGCCAGATACCGGAAGTAAGCGATGTAAAACCGAGTTGTTGACTAATAGTTCGGTGTATAACTTTTTACAACAACAAAAGTATACTTTCGAGTCGAAGTTTTGAAAATGGGCACCACGGCAAGTCAACTTGGGAAGGACTTGCTCTCGGAATATCAAGTAAGTGCCCATAATGTCTTCAAAAGCAAATTTTGTATCGTAATACTGTTAACCGAGCGGCTAATTTTGACAACAGTTGTTTTTACGTACCGTAATAACATGTCGTGACGTAGCAATCTTAGCCTAATGTTTTCAGGTAAAATAAAACTAGTGCAGCCTTGTCATTAGGAGTAAAGTTTGGTTTATTTACGGTCTGTCTTTCCTACAACGTTAAACTATACATAACGCTAATGGCAGCCATAATGAACTACCACTTGTCATGAAGCTTTTTAGTAGTATAAAAGCTAATATTGCCAATATCACTACAGTTAATCAGACTATTGATGTTTTAAAATAAATGAAACTCATAAATGTATTCCAGTGTTGTTTATTTGTATTGTTCCTGTTTAATCTTTGACTACTTATTTTAATAATGCTCACTTTTACTCGTAGGAACTGACATTCTTGACAAAACAAGAAATTCTTCTGTAAGTGATCAGCTGCATATCACATTACACGTTACCAGTTTACAAAAGCACTGTAATCAATCTAGCACCGCTTATTGTGATCCATGATTAAGCTTTGTGTGCGTGTGTGTATGTGTGTTTAGCGCTCACAAGAGATTCACTGAACTGCTCACAAAAGATGAGAAAGACCTCCCAAACACCAGAGTGCCCATGGAGAGGATTCTCACTCTGCCAGAGCTCAAGGTGAGAAACTGTTTGATAGTAAAGCAGTGGAAATGTGGTGTTATGTGGAGCACTTAGTTCTTAAAGCATGGCTAGGATTGTCCTGTACTTTGTATGTTCTTGAGGAAGTGCTTCACGCGCTGACAATCTGTGCTGACCCTTGTGCTTGTTCCTGTCACAGTCCAACCCTTTCAGGAAAAGAATCTGCCATGTATTCTCCACATCTGAACACAAAGATGGAAGCCTCACATTCGAGGACTTTCTGGATCTCTTGAGTGCCTTCAGCGACTCTGCTACTCTGGAAATCAAATCCCACTATGCATTCCGTATTTTTGGTAAAGACGTTGATTAAAAAAAATAAAAGCGAGCTGGTTATTATTGATTCATGTGGGCTATCAGTCTGTAATAAGAATGTTGATACTTTCAGACTTTGACGATGACGGAACTCTTGATAGTGGTGATCTGGAGAAGCTGGTAAACTGCCTGACCGGTGAGACAGATGACACAAGACTAAACCCTGATGAAATGAGACAGCTCATCAGCAATGTAAGTTCACTGAGGCTTCTCCTCTTTGAAGATGTGAGAGGCACACTAGATGGTTAAAATAGAGTGGTACAAGGATGTGTAAGTGGGCTCAATAGTTGTTTCCTTTGTATGTTCTTCAGATTCTTGAAGAGTCAGACATCGACAAGGATGGAACCGTGAACCTCTCGGAGTTTCAGCACGTCATTTCAAGGTCGCCGGATTTTGTCAGGTGAGTGAAAAACTAACCACTGTTGTCACTGACACTTCACACAGTTTTGTTCACTCTTAACCGCCTGTTATATCTTGATTTGTCTGCAGTTCTTTCAAGATTGTGCTGTGAAGACATCTAACGGACTGTGGAAATGCACCAACCTATAACTCTCACATGGTGTTTAATTTTCAGTTGGAACTATTTTAGACATTTGCCTTAAATTAATATAAGCTGTGGATTTTACTGCCTTAACTATTTTATGCAACGTTTGTGAAATATAAAACCTGTGATTTTTTATTACTATACAGAAAATTAAAATTATTTCCAAAAACTATACATTTACAAATTTTCTTGTTTTTTTATAAAGACAAATGAGAAGAACTTGTATGTTACAAAATATATTTAATTTAAAGTCTTTTTGTTGTGAATATTTACACTTCCTTGTACATTGTCCAAAGTTCAGTGTCCATGTCTCTCAAGGGGATTCCAAAGTATTTTTATGATCAAGCTACTTCCTCCTTGGTGACAGCAGCAAAAGTATTCCACGCCCCGCACACTACATCCTCCACACACATCTGCTGCTCCCTGAAGAACTCCACACGCTGGGGCTCATCCGAACTGATTAAATTCTGGTGTCCAAGTTGGCCGTACTCCCCTGAAATGATGGGGAAAAAAAGGACAGGGTGAGTTCAACATATAACTAGGTTTTGCTCTAAGTGTACTGATTAATTAAACTGATACTGGGAACATGCTACAGAGATTTAACACATTTGCAACACAGCCAATGACACCCTGTTTGGGTCTTGTTGGCTCTGAATTCAAACTTACCCCAGCCCCATGTGTAGAGGTCACCTGTGGCTGGAATTAGAAAATATAAGATAAAGACAATGACATAGGTTTGCCAAGAAAATGTGCACCCATTCAATAACAATGATCAATACACAGCTTTTGTCAGATGTGATTTCTTACTTGTTACTGCAGCTGTGTGTCTGCAGCCACAGCTGACCGTCTTGATTTCACATGATGGAGTGATATCCAGCAGAGCCGGGAATGCCTGGATCGATATGAATACCTCCTCATGTTTCTCTCCCTCCTGCTGCTCGTCAGCGAGAGATGTGCGGGCATCTTGGCGTGGTTCTCCTGTTCAGCACAGTTAATGTTGTAGTACTTACTACAACTCAAGTCATTACTTTAAGTGGCTACCATGAGCAGCATATTTGGCAACATGTATGAAATTATATAACAGTTCAAGGGGGTGGTTCATTCATGACGATATAATGCTTTACTCCAAATTATGTCTGTACATTTAAGTAGTTTTTAAATTTGTATTTTGAGGTACAATGGAGCTTGACGGCAATGAGTTTATGGTGCTTCAAGTGCCAAACACACGTTTGAAAAAGATATAAAGAGAGTGAATCCACAGTATCTCTGATGCTCAGAGTTAATCACTTGGCAAGCGTCCTTTATAGATGCTGTGGAAATGCTGATACTTAAGAGTGGGAATATTGTAACAATCATACATGCCATAAAAAAACAATGCAGCTAAGTACAATAAAGTGTCTGGATCAACAGATAGCACGGTGGGTAAAAAGAACTGACTTTGATTGTGTTTTAAGGTGAAGTGTTATAGGGAAACAGATTTACCTGCTTGTTGGCTACTCTGCTGCTCTGCTGCCTTCCTCAGACCTCGTGATGGAAGTCCAAGCTGCCCACTTTCATTCCAGCCCCACACGTAAAGGTCACCCCCATCTGAAGCAAAAGGTCATTTAATCCTCACAGTGAGGGTACAACTCTTTCCACTGCCAACACCTTGTGTGACACTTACCACTAATACAGACAGAGTGCCAGCTTCCTGTAGCGATACAGCTCATGGGCATCCCCCAGAGTGCCTCCACTGCCCTGGGCTCGTCCTCAGAGGTGAGGCCTCCGTGCCCCAACTGACCATGGCTGACAAATAAACACATGCACACACATAAGATCAAGATATGCATGTGGGTGTTACTTCTCTGATTCCCAGTAAAGACAGATGTGTGAGGTCTACCTGCCCAGTCCCCAGGTGTACACAGCTCCAGAGGCACTGAGAAGGATGGCATGCTCTGCACTCAGTGCCAGACTCTTGGCTCTCAGGTGTGGTGATAAGGAGCGGTAGAGGGGCGGTGTTGTGGCTATGTAACCACCAGGGACCAATGGGAGATTCACAGGGGGTCCTGGAAGGCAGCAAGAAGAGTACTGTTTATTCAATTAACACATTCGACTTCTAGAAGCTGTCAAAGAAGTTAGGATAGTAGTGAAAGTACTCAAAGTACTCAGATTTGGTTCTCAAGTAAGAGTACTGATAGCACACTGTAAAAGTACTCTGCTACAAGTAAAAGCCTGTGTTAAAATTTCTACTTGAGTACTCAAGTATTACCTGCAAAATGTACTAAAAGTAGCAAAAGTAAAATACCTCACAATGCAAAATGACCCCTTTCAGAGTGTTTAATTATGGAGCTTTCTATAGGTGTGACTTCAGGGTCTCTCCAAGGGATGTCGGCTTTTAGTCTATAACAATACATAAAGATTCAGAGAAACTATAGCTGTAAAATATATGTAGGCTAATGCAGTTGCAAGTACAATATTCCCCCCTGTGGTGTAGTGGAGTATGTACTGATTAACCAAAACCAGGTGAAGTGAAAAACATTGATCATCTTGTCACAATGCAATGTTCTGTTGGGAAACGTTTAGTCCTGGCATTCATGGATGCAACTTGATGCACTCCACCTACCTAAACACAGTTTAAGACCAAGCACTGCACCCCCAAACCCTGTTGGGGCCTCCTTGGATCAAACTTGGCTCTGACCTGTTGAGGCATGGACACAGACCTCTGAGGAGTGCCTTGTGGAGTCTGGCACCAGGGCATTGGCGGCAGATCCTCTACGTTTTGTGGGTTGTGAGGTGAGGTACTGGCAGGTTCCACAGATGCTCAATGAGACTGGGATCTGGGGAATTTGGAGGCCAGGTGAACGCCTAGAGCTCTTTGTTATGTTCCTTGAGCCATTCTTGAGTAGTCTGCCATCTACAGTGCTGTAGCCATGAGGCGGGGTACTTGATCTGCAACCGTGTTTGGGCAGGTAGAGTGTGTCAAGAGGCATCCATATGAATGCCAGGACCCAAAGGTTTCCCAGCAGAACACTGCATTGTAACAAAATGATCAATGTTATTCACTTCACCTGACAGTGGTTTTGACGTTTCGGCTGATCGGTGTATGTAGTGCAGTAAAAAGTACAATATTTCCCTCTGTGATGTAGTGACGTAGAAATATAAAGTAGCAACAAATGGAAATACTCAGGCAAAGTACAAGTACCTCAAAATTGTACTTAAGTAAATGTACTTAATTATCCTCCACCGCTGTATTAGGATATACATTACCTGAGCTGTCTGAGTGTGTTTTTATTTCCATGCTCCATGTTAGAGTCTTCTCTTCCTTCTGCAGATCCCAGGACTCAACTCTGTCTGAGAAAGCGAGGGTCAGGTAGGACTCACTGATGATGGCATCCTTACAGCCCCGGCTCTCTTTCAGAGGACTGCCACATGACTCAGTGGAGACGAAACCTGCCAGGCACACACAGCTGTCACCTACAGACAGACAGACAGACAGACAGACAGACACAGAGAGAGAACATGATGAATACACGAGTTAATATTTATGTCATGAGTGTGGCATGAAAGACGCTTTCTATTTCTGATAAGAGTGCTCAACCAGAGCTCTTTTATCTTGGACAGACTCACCATCCAAATACACAGATGCTCTTCGACTCCAACTTGCTCTAATTTGAAAATCAGTATCAAAGCAGCCTCCACTTCTGTCCACCTGACCATTAAGCTCTGTTGGACTACTCACTTTAACCTCCTTTACAGGGTCGCTGCACTCTCCTTTAATTAATTTATCGGGGACGAATATCTGTCCAAAAGCGTTGAAGCCAAATCCGAACCACCGCATTGGAAACGCTGAACCTCTGTTTACGCTGCTGAACCGGACGACGCAGTTGTTCGCACAGTTTGAACACTGGTGTATGGAGCACCGGGGTGTACTGCGCATGCGCTGAAGTATCGCGCAGTCATTCCTCATTTCTGATTTTCAAAAAAGATTTTAAGTACCACGCAAATGAGTTATGATACATGAATATACAT